TATAATAAACTAGCTAAAGACAACAAATGAAGCAATCATTTTCATCCCAGACGATCGACTCGTACAAACCATTTATTTAGATGGATCTACTTGTAAATGAACAGATGGTAGTTCATAAAAAAACTAAGTGGTCATTTAGTCTTTTTAAGCCAACAGTGATCGAGTTATCTCTATATAACTTTACATAAATTAATAAGTACCTAAAAATACATTTTGAAACACATAATGTTACGTAAATACCAGAAAATACATAAGTTCAACTTTCGAAAATTTAATTTGACAAATCCACACACTGTTACTAGGTCTGGTCGCTTTTGTTCATTTGTAACTGTACAAATAACACTTAACCATGAGTATTACTTATACAAGATATAATTGAGCTTTATTATTGCTTTTACAGAGCACTTAACTATTCAAACGGCAAAACTTAAGCTATTAGATCCTTTCGGGAGACCTGAGGTTTCTGCGTTAGGACATTTATAGGAATGAAGATATGCATTATTGAAGCAATCCAATCTATATTTTGTCAGTCTGGTGAAATTTCTCTTTTAACCAACAAACTCTAATAGTTATCTCACCTTGTCGGGAGCATCTATCTTTCACTGTTTCTTTTTGAAAATTCTTTTTCTCTTTCCGCATAACCATTCTGTTTTGCCAAAACATAGATTCTTTTTAAGTGAAAATGTACGTGTACTCTGAAATTTCCCAGTATTACGATTCTAAATTTCATTCACTAAATGAATTTTCATAAAAACAACCACGGAAAATAAACCTTTATTTGTTGATTTCTTGAAAACTGCAGTACTAAAAACATCAAATTAAAAAAGTACAATCTTGACCCGAAAATTGGCACGGAACTTCAGTAAATCAGTTTCATTTCCTCATGATAACAGCCCTATCATTCCAATATGTTCAGATAACTGAATTTATAACTCAGTTGACCTCTAGGTGATCATTTTGTTTGTAACAAATACTTTATAAAATTTTATATAAAGATTATATTATACACTGATTACGACGAATTCGTTCGATCCTCTATATGAATCTGAATTTTTTCTTAGCACTTGGAAATGCAATTGTGAACTAATCCATACTTTAGATTCTGAATGTTGTCCTGAATTAAGTTAGCAGCCCTTCAATCAATCACTCAATATCATAGATATATAAAATAACGGAAAAACAGAAAACTTTTGTTCAACCTCTACTATCTGTTCTGTGAATGAACTAGTGCTGAAAAATATGTCGGACAGTTCTGTCTGGATTTATTTCAAAGTTATTCGGACTATCAAAAGGAGTTGATCAATCAGAAAGACCATTTGGTTATTTCGAACAGCATGTATATTATATTTAATTAAAACTGGTTTAGCTAGGTTGATTATATACATGGTTACCTCTCATGATTGTAGAAGGATAGTTGACAAACAAATTTATAGACAATTTATCAGAACGTAAATACTGATAATTCTAAGGTTAGTTTTAAATTAGTACGAAGTGTAATCCCAATTATAATTCGTTAAAAAATATTACACTACTCACTGGTAAAAAAACGATAAATATCACGTATCTGGATTGCTGATTATAGTAAAGGTTCTTTTCGTTTATGTTCATTCAATGAATAGTGAATGTAGATTTTATCTTGTTTAATTAGATTTATTTATTTTAATTTGTGATTATGTAATAAACATCATGTGATAGTTTTTGATCAATATTAAATAAAATCGAAATCTTAATTATAACAATTACTAGTCGAAAAGCTTGTTGAAATCGATTGCGTACATAAAGAAAACCATGGACTCTATGGTTTATAATTAATCATGTGAAAATCTATTTTATGTATATCTTAACCACGGAAACAATACATAATTGATTTACATTCCAACATTCCAATAATACATTCAATCTGTGACACAGGGTTAAGTAACATTGACAATTTGATGTGTTTACAATTGAGTCATGTCATTTATCCCGATACGTAAAAATGGCTTGACACAAATAGCAATGAAACAACTTTTGGGTAGGAAACCAAATTAATAGCTGTTGTGAATTACTAAACCTAAATAAATTTAAAAGGTTATTTTCATGAAGAAAAAATAGCTTTCAAAGATGAAAATATAGACTACTAAAGAATGAATGGTAATACACTTCCTCATATCATACCAGAAATGATTACCTTATATTTTTATTTGAATGGACGTCAGATTGTAAGAATTTCAATACTTGGTTAAATGAAAACATTAAATCTGAAACCAGTTTCAACCCTATACGTCGGTGAGATGTAACAGAGAAATGATCAATTATTAACCTACGTATGAAGCTTGTTTGTGTCAAGTGACTTATGAAACTTCTAAATTCAGGTAAAATGGATTACATGTTCAAACATCTAGTTTGATTCACAGTTCACTAAAATTTCAAAAAAATCACTGAAATGTCTGAAAATGAACCATTCACATCTCATAATGGGGATGATGGACTAGTGCGTTGTGTAGTTAGTTGTATTACAAAATAGTTTTCATGGTCGAGTGGCATCAATCGTACAAGAAAACATGGTCCACCTGTTTTGTCCTAGTAAAAGACTTAATCAGTATGTACTATTAATGATTCGCCCTTTATTATCTGTTCGTGAGAAAATGTGACCTTTAAATTATGTGAATCACTTCACGAACCTCTAAAGCAAGTCTATTCAACTCAAAGCTTTAATGTTTTAGTTATACACAACATATATATATTCAATACGCTGTTAGCTACTTCAACATTATTGAATCCTTGTACATCAACATACACGTACACATTTGTATATGTTTACACTCATGCATATAGTCCATTGTAATGCAACAGTGTGACGCAACTGCTAACTTTTTCGATTACGAATAGTTTAAATGACATGCTGTTTTGTGAACAAATACTATGAGGTTAGTTTTTTCCTTTTTTAATTTAGTCGATTGGTCAAAATAAAATCAATATGTGAAAATACTGCAAATCAATATTAATCTCTACAAACTTATAATACATGATGACATTTTATTGGTTTCATTTCAGACTTGTTTTAAAAACATTTTTGACTAAACAAGTAGTTTTGTGGAAATTCTTACTTAAAGAATAACTTTTGTAAGTTTTAATAAAATTTATATCAAGAATTAAAGTAATTGTAGCGTGAATTACCTGACATTTAAAGAATTTCATTCACTGTATCATGTTATTGAGCAAAGAATGTTAAACCCAGAATATAAGTGTTCAGTTCAGCCTGAGGTTTTAAAATGTAGTATGTGACTTCATGAAAATCGATGAAAACTTAATATAATGTTTACTAATTAGTTTTGTTTTTTGCTTTTCTTACGAATATCTTGTTGATTTTGAATTGTATATAAGACCACTGGTTATTTACCCGATGAAACGGTTAATAAAATCCTCGCAAAAGAATACACTTTAATATTGTATTTCCTCGATATCAGTTCAAGGACGTGAATATCTTTCTTTAACCAAGAACGATTTCACATTTTAAACTTTTGTTAGTTTTTTATGTAGCGTGACACGTGACTAATATAATCGGTAAACTACAGTCTCAGTTCCAACTACATTGATAACATAATCTACGAGTTTTAACTGGAATCTTGACAAACCTATATCAAATGTGATCAGTAGTGGGTATATAGTTTATAATAATTTAGGTATTAAGTTTTGATTTAAAAATGAGACTTAGTAAGTAAAAACACTTTCCAGTAAAACATATTGAGATTTTTCTATATTTTGTCATGAGACTTAAACTATAGTTAGTCGACCTACTCTAAAAGATGCTATCATAAATATGCTCAGACTGTACTTGAAAAATTGTGGTTATTAACTAATTACCTACTGACAAATATTCAAACTAATATGGGAATGAGGTCGATAAAAGTAAATATTCTAGAATTTACGAAATTATTACTCCTGAAATTCATGTTATAAACAAATTTGGTGAAATGTTGTAATAAGTAAAAATGATTGCCATAATTTATTAACGCTTTTCTGCAAATAACACATTTTGAAGACCTGAGGAAATGTTTCTCAATTTCTCTGTAGTTCTTTTTTCTAAGTCACCCGAAACCTTATATTACATCACATTTATGGTTCACAGCAGGTATAGTATAAATATCTATATTATTTCTGATATTCTCACGTTTCAGTTTATTTATTGTAAATTATATACATAGAATGTATTGATTAAACTTCAGATGATCAGTATATTGACTACACCATTAAGTAATCGTTATAAAGAAGTAACAAATGGATACTGTGTTGCTATCACTACACAATCAGTGCACTAGGAAGCGTTTTACAGATTATTCATTGAAATATTGCTCAAAATATCCTATGAGTGGATTTTAACTAATCACTTAATAATTCTAACCCCCACTCTTAGTCAGTGGTGTCAAAATACTCGTAAGATGACATATTAAAGGCGTACATTTGGGTACAGTATAAACTGTGTGGAGAAATATTGGTTTTGTAAACAATAAATGTATAAAACAGACGTCCAAACCCGTGAAATGTGTACATCTAGATGGCCCTTTGTTCGATGTTATAAAATCTGTTCTTTGAAGATCAGTCTTGTGAAGAAATTAATAATCTAATCTTTTCAGGCATTTCAGCACTTTATCACATTATTTATAGTGTTATAATATTAATCAATATTTAAAAAGTATTATTCAGCCTAAACAAAACAAATCACTAGACAAGGTTTGTCATCAGCCCAAGAGCTCTAATAAACTTATGAGTATCAGATAACTGTTTGTATAAGGCATACATTTCTTCGCTTACCGCATCAAACATGGCTAAACCTAGGATATCCACTCCTAACATCTTGTATATTACTTCTGAAATACTTTACCGAATTTAGGTGCACTTATTCTGTAATGAAAGCTAATTCTATAGGTTATTCATCATATAAATTTAAAAAGCATATAAATTGAACCACATAATCTTTATTCTGCTGAATAGCGTCTTATTCTTCCATCTTTATATAGCTTTGGATAACAGAATAATCGCTAAAGACGATCAGATTGAAGCAGGTGTAAAATGAGTTTCTGTCCCAACTTCAATATAACAAGTACAGTTATCATTACTGCACAGTGCTAATCATCTGTAAATTTAAGTTGTGAGTTGCTTAAATAGTGTAAAGTATGCAAATTTTCTTTATAATAATACACGTGAACCATCTGCACATGTACTTTAGAAAATAATGTTCAATAAATCCTTATTCATCTGATGTGATGAGGAATTTGGTATTTTTTAGAACATGGTATTCCGATTAAAACAATGATATAATTCTGTAATAGTTATTCATATTCATTGAAACTAAGTCTTATTTAATGTAATTTTTTAGATAGTCTGCTTTTCAAAGTTTCTAAATGAAAAAAGTGGATTCATTTAATATTTTCTTCAAACATTTTACTGTTTCTGTTAATTATAGGTAAATAATAACAAATAATAAGATATGTGACGCATGTCTGTCTTAACTAAACATCAAAATGAAATTTAATAAAATATAATAATAATAATATGTAGGTCATTCTTTAAACATTATGGGCCGAATTATATTGACAGTTGTTAGGTCAAATAATTTAGAAGTATACCTGTTTTTTAAGATGTTTACAAATTAGCCAATTTCCACAGGAATTTGCTATACCGGAGGTGAGATTAAATTTCTATGGACTCATCAATTCTCTAGAGATTTTAATTACAGATTTTAGACGAGTGTCAAAACGACGTTAAATGTAGACCTGAAATCCTGACTAAACTAATGAATTATTGTTACGAGATTATGAAAAATTGGTGAAGGCATTATGAATTCCATTGACAAAAGAAAACTTATTTCAAATTTTGATGTACATTACCGGTAAGAGTACTATACTATTCTGTAGAATTTAAGTTTTATGTAGAAATCTGTTTCAAGTTATTCGTCGATAAATATAAAAGAAATGAATTGTATTTTAGCTCACTATACAATTCGACGTCAAAACTGATATTGTAGGAATTCATTAAGCTACTGATTATATTTGTTTATCTATACATCATTTAATATATGTTGCAGATGTCTAATTATCGCTTATTTCAGTAAAGGGCTAATTACGGAAAAGAAATGTCTGATAAAATTAACTAAAGTATTAAGAGGTGAAAGCTGCTTTAAAACTTGACCTTAACTATAAATATTAAATTTACAGTTTCAAACAGATTTTATAACATATATATTTAAAACACGTATGTATCAATACACATGCACTTCATAGTGATCAATGTTGGAAATTTAAAACACATTGTACACTGAAAACCATTTGCTGCTTCGCCATTCGCTACAGATTTTCCGTATTTTTATTTTAGCAACCCATTAATGGAGTTTTCTATCTGGAACAGATTCACCAAAGGTTCTCTTGCACTTTAGAACTGAGTAAGAATTCCTCACAACTATACCATTTACTTATCAAGTAACTCGGATTATATATTCATTTGTATGACCGCGGAAGTTATGTTACAAATTTAAAGTCTGGAATGCTTCCCAAAATGGTTTTCAAATGAGATCGGAATTTAATATGCTCTTAAATTATGTGATAAGTTTGTAATGAATTGAACAGGTTTTTATAAATTTTAACACCTAAGATAAAATTCTATTCTAAACCAAAGTATTTATTAATTTCAGGCATTTTGAATGTTGGTATAAGGACGAAAAGCTAGTTTACACATACATAAGTGATGAGAAATGATCCAAAGTGAAAAGTATTATTCACAGTAATTCCTTATTCTGTCAATACTGACGCAACTTTATGACTACTTAGAAACTGTCTATTTAGAAATATATAAGTATTTAGGATAAACATAAGATATTACTTTCAGTTAATAACTCATGTGTTATAATGGAAGCCAATTAGTTAGTTAAAATAAAATAACTGAAAACGTGTGTGAAGTTGGCCTAACGACTGCATAAGACCCTTTTTGTTTGCAAGATATATATAATGATATTGAAAAGAATTGAAATTACTATACTTTAAAAGTTGTGACCATAAAATGTAATGGCAAGTAAACTCATCTAGCTGCTCAATAGATGGTGATTAATCCAGAAGAATCCATGTTAGAAAAGTGGCTACTGTTGTAACCACTCACAATGAAACGTATTTGGCAGATACGGCTACTCAATAGTGCTAGATATATAGAGCACCATACATCAATCAGTAGCAACAACTATTCGTAAATGTCAGAGACCATTAATTTCCATTCTGTCTCACTCACTGAAGAGTTCAACCAACAGAGCAACTCAGAAAATCTCACGATCTGGTGTTTAGTTAATCAAAGTCTATTATGTGTACTTAAAGAAAAAGTAGCTTTTTCAATAATTTCCAAGTTATTAATAACGCAACACACAATCGTCGTAGAACGCTCATCACCTAACCATTTTCGATAATTCCTATGAATAAATGTTAAACATTTTGTGGAAACAAATTAATAATCCGGAAAACAAAGTTTGACAAACATATAGAAAATATAGTGAGGTGTCAGTGTGCATTTATGAACATAAGTGAACTCTTCAGAGGGAATTCAGCTAATGTTCAGGACTTAAGATAACTTCGATTAACATTTTGCTAATGATAATTATTAGTTCATATGTTTATTCTAAAATTACAGAATCCATATCAGTATACAGACTTCGCAACATATAAAAAGTAAGGGTATATTATTCTAAAAAATGTGATTCATATATTTATTTAGATTGATCATTTGTCAAAAAGGTGGTAATCGTGTGAAAAAATGTAATCAGAGGTGACAACATTTAAGAGTACAGTTTGATATCCGAGTATACAATATAACAGATATCAATTTCGAAAGCAAAGAATTACTTTGATGACCAATGTAAGAAAAACAAATGTACTCCAAGAAAGTGGCATAGCTACAACATCATGAGTGTTTTTGGAATGACAAATGTTGGACAGGATACGGAAGTTAGGGACCATTATTTTCTTCGTAAGAAGACTGAGATATCACGTATGCGAAGTGTTATTCCGGTCTCAGCACAGTATAAATATGTTCATCTACAACTAAAAAAAAGAAAACGAAAACCAAGAGCACGGAACAACGACAAAAAATTACTGTGATAGGTCTTTGGTCAAATATATTCATTATTCTAAGCTATCGAATATACACTTTTATAATAAAATAGGCGGGTTATTGTTCCAGGAGCCACTTAGTATGTAACCCAGAAGTCGGGGTGACTTAAATATCTATATTGTGTCCTGCTGCGAGAAAGACAAATCACAGAAATATTTGAGTACTAAGTCTACTACAGAATGAAACCTGTAAATCTGCTTCACATACATGGTAAAATTAAATCAAGATAATGATCACCAAATCAAATCCACCTAAATTTAGCAATGGTAAATTCCAGATTCCACGATGAGCAGTATAAGAATAACTTGTTGAGCTTCATACTGACACTGTATTGTACATGAGTAAGATGTTTATTCTTATAAAACTAATACACTACCTTAGGATTATTGCCATTAAGTAAGGATCCATGTCATCCAAGATTCCAAAGGATTAAATAAATTTGTAAATAAAAGTAATTCAAAAGGACTATTTTGACAGTTTTTAAAGCAATTTTGGGATCCTTCTACAATTCTATTGAACTTATTGCTATTCACTGATTCTTGAAGATATATTGAAAGGACTTATTACATGAATAGCATATTAAGGGTACATATCTTGTTTCTTTCAATAACTCAACAGTATGTACTAATTACTTCTGTTTACTTTAAAAGCAGTGGTCCTAAAGGCCTGTGTAATAGGTCTGTCACGAGAGCTAGTATAAAACAACCAACTAAATAATAAATTAAAATTGTTCATCTTTATTTATTTATTTATTTATTTCTAGAGTGTACTTTTCATCTTAATGCAAAACATGTATGTAATACTATCTAGATTACAAGTTTCGAGGAACCATTCCTTAAAAGTTTACATGCATCACTGACATACAAATTTGTTGATAATATAAACAAATAGATAAATACATATATCATATAACATGGAATTGTATATTGCTACAAATGTCACCTGATTCATTTATAAGAAGAAGAATAGAATGGGCATATGTACGAATAGTAGTAGAACATTTATTCTTGGGAGGGAAAATAAAAGCATTTCCTATTTTAAACACCGATGATCAACCCCCTGACTAGATCACGGAACCATTGGAAACTTCGTGATGCTTCCAGTCACCTTTCATGTATTCACCTTGTTTATTTACTGGATTTGAAAGTTGACGAATAGGATTTGTACGAGGTTTAGATTTGTTATCAATCATTAGAATGAATACATCTGTGCCATTGTTAATTGACCGTTTAGCAACTGAGGTATCGTTATAATTTTGAAAAGTCCTACTCACATTACTATCAGTATTATCATTATTTGCACTTGTATTATTATTCATAGTAATATTGCTATGACTAAATAAATTATTTGAATAAATACTTGACTTGGTAATGACTATTCCATCCATTTGGTTTAAATTATTGTTTCGAAAATAAGGCAAAATGTGATTACTCGCTGTGCGTTTTGATAAAATGTTATCATTATTATTATTAGCAGTATATGGATATCTCTTATGCTTTTGCATAATATACCTATCTAAAGTACAATATGCCTCCGCATTATCTGATTCAATATCAGTAAAGTCTGTCTGACTGCCAATACTACGTCTCTTAGATAAATATGTTTTTTTGTAGGGATAATGATTATTTCGTTTATCAGAATGTTGTTGATTGTTATGTTTGTTTGACTGGAGGATGTTGCATAAGGCACCATACGTGTTTGAATTGGTTGGTTTTGAATCTTTAAGACTTATAACACTACAACGACATTGTATAGTCCTGGCATTTATAGAAGGGTTGTTAGTTATTTGTAAACTGCTCCACGAACTACGCGTACCATTCGTACCATTTCGAGTATTTTTACTACTGATAATAAAATTTGTCATATTGTCACTCGTGTATGGGAGTAATTCCTTTTTTTCACTGGTTACATATGTTTTAGGTTGTTGGGCGAAAAATCCGCTAGAAACTGAATTAGAACTGATTTCTTCCATATCACCGTCATCATTATCGTCGTCATTACCATTCACTTCATCACCGTCAATCGACGAATTCTGTTGACCACAAAAATGGAACAAGCTAAATGGTGTTATCTGCGCAACTTTTGTTGATAATGGAATTTTAATGAAACGATTTTTTATACAATATAGTACAATTAATATAACTACAATAAAACTAATTGTGATGATTGTGCACCATATTATTAATATAATTGAAAGAGATAGTGTATGTTTGCTTTCCGTTTGTATAGATGTCATTGTTTTCAATTGTTCAATAACTGAAATATTTAATAATGAGGATTCCGATCGTGATTCTGGTAATGATTGTTTATTTGAAAGTGAGTTCATTTTAGTTGAGTTGTCTTGATCAATTGCAGTTATATCAGATTGTCTTAAACAACCGATCCCATCTTTGATTAATGGACAGGTATATGGAAATATCATACTTAACTTAAGTGAATTGTATTGTGATGTTGGCAGATCACGTTTGTTTGTAAATACTATAATAATCAAATTATTCGGTTTTGTTGGAGATCTATCATTCATATCATTGCTGTTACTCACATCATTGTCATCAATTAGTGCACATTTATGACATTTTGTGTTTAAATTAAAAGTAATCGGTACTGTATTGTCTAGCGGGTTTAGACGAATAAATACAGGTTTATTAATTTGTCCTATTGCTTCTTCTACATCCGATTGAAAGTATTTTCCATTCTCCACATAATCTTCTGACAAATATAATGGCGTTTGGCCGCTCTCCATTTCAAATGATCTTAAATGCTGTAAGTCGATTAAACTATCTGGATGCATATATACCGTATTCAACAAACGTACATCAGTAATCAATCCACCCAAACCTTGAAAGCATCTCGCATCTAATCGAAGCATATTCAAATTTAAATGAAATTCTAGTTGACCACTGCGTGATAGCAGCGTACTCGTCGGTGATGATGTTTGCAATAAATGACTCAATGCACCGGGTACAATTCCTCGAACAGATTCTTTATGACCTAGAACAAGTACACCAGCTTCTGTATTTCGTTCACAAGATATCATCTTTAATTTTGGTGACTTTTTATCTTCCTTTGAAATACAATTTACCATATCCTGAGAATCGTGTTCTATAAAGCATTTTATGGGACACTGATGAATGAGAAGAGAATTATAATTTGGATCTTTTGTATCCAACACATAATTGCTGATGGATTCATCATGAATATCTGAACTGTTTGATATTAAACGTTCTGAGAAGTGTTTGCTTGTTTGACAAAATTGTATGGTCAATAATATAAAGACGCAATTAAAACTATGCAGGATATGATTCATTGTAATAATTCTGAAATGACCCAATAGATATTAAATTTGTTACCT